CGGTATGGGCGTGACACTGAGGGTTGCGATCCATTGCCGGTCACGAAAAAAGACAAAAAAAGGGGGAAAAAAAAAAAAAAGAAGACATGAGAAAGCCATAAGCACAATCTCCTGGCTTTATGTATGTATGTATGTATGTATGTATGTATGTATGTATGTATGTATGTATGTATTTTATTCTATTTTTTTAATTGGCAGACAAAATTGTATGTAATTATCATGTACAACATGTTTTGAAGTACATATATATCATGGAATGACTAAATCTAGCTAATTAGCATATGCATTAACTCACATAGTTAATTTTGTGGTGAGAACTCTTTATATCCAATCAGCGTTTTTCAAGAATACAATATATTGTTAACTATAGACACCATATTGCATAGTAGATTTCTTGAATTTATTTCTCCTATCTAACTGAGATTTTGTATCCTCCGACCAACATCAACCCCCCCTAGCTCTTGATAACAACCATTTTACTCTCTACTTCAAGATCAACTTTCTTAGATTTCGCATGAGTGTGAGATCATGTGGTATTTGTCTTTCTATGCCTGCCTTATTTCACTTAGCATAATGTTCTCCAGGTCATGCATGCTGTTGTAAATTATAGGATTTTCCCCTTTTTATGGCTGAATAATATTCTATTGTGTATGTACACATTTTTTAATCCATTCATCCACTGAAAGACATTTAGATTGATTCCACATCTTGGCTATTGTGAATAATGCTGCAATGAACACGGGACTGCAGATGTTTCTTTGACATGCTGATTTCATTTCCTTCGGATGCATACCCAGTAGTGGGATTGCTGGATCATAGGAAAGTTGTATTTTAAATTTTCTGAGGAACTTCTATACTGTTTTTCATAATGGTGTACTAATTTACATTTCCACCAACAGTGTGTAGGGTTCTTCACATCCTTGCCACCATTTGTTACCCTTCATGTTTTTGATAATAGCCATCCTAATAGATATGAGATGATATCTCATTGTGGTTTTGTGTTTCACTGATGATTAGTGATGTTGAGCATTTTTTCACTTACGTGTTGGCCATTTGAATGTCTTCTTTTGAGGAACATCTATTCGGGTTCTTTGCCCATTTTTAAATTGGATTATTTGTTTTCTTACTGTTGAGTTTGGTTCCTTATACATTTTGGAATCCCTTATCAGATGCATAGTTTGCAAATATTTTCTTTCATTGTGTAGGTTGTCTCTTCACTCTGTTGATTATTTCCTTCTCTGTGCAGAAGCATTTTTGTTTGATGTAGTGCCATTTGTGTATTTTTGCTTTTGTTGCCTGTGCTTTTGGGATCATATCCAAAAAATCATTGCCCAGACCAATGTCATGGATTATGCTTTTAAGTTTTAGATGGTCATCCTTTACTTAATGCACAATCACCATAATTTTGATTTTTTTTTAAAAAAGAATTCATTTATTCAAAAAACATTTGTTGAGTGACTACTACATACTAGACTTTCTGCTAGTTCCAGGGACCCAGAGATGACAAAGGCAACTTCCTACTCTCAAGGAGCCCATCATCTAGTGGGAGATGCAGAAATGTAACTGAGTAGGATAATACAATGAGATTAGTGGTAAAACAGCAGTGAGGACAAAGTTTCAAAGGAGGATAAAGGATGGTAGAACATAATTTTATATAGAGAATTCAGGAAAACTTACATGAGAGGGCTTCAAAAAGCTGATGGAAAGATTTGTATTATATTTTAATTCCATTTTCCTGTGAACTTTTTGAAGTACCTTTGTATAGAGAGGAGGGGTTTCAAAGTAACTACGTAGGGAGCCGGCATGTGCATTCCAGGTAAAGGAAGCAACACGTGGGGAGTATAGAAGAGGATGGCACATTTGGTTGACTGCACACATTTGAACAACCTTATACATGACATTTAAAATGAATCCTGTAGGCAATGGGAATTAACAAAAAGATTCTCAGTAGGGAAATGACATGATTAGATTAAGCCTTCAGAATAATTACTCTGGCAATGTTGTAGAGAATAGATTGGAAAGGGAGGAGACTCTGGCCTAGGAAACCAGTTGGTCTACTGCAATAGTCCTAACAAGAGATAATAATGATCCACCTTGAGCAGAGAAGGGAAGACATCTTAAAGAGCTACTAAGAAGGTATACTTAGTATAGCTTGGTTGAGAATGACATATGGGTGAGTATCGAGGAGATAGCCCCACATATCTGTATTTGGAAGACAGCATATTACTTCATGTCAGAGAAAATAGGAGCAGAAGCAGTTTGAATGCATGATAAGTTCAGAGTTTAGGGACAGATGGTGTAGCAAGGGAGAGATAATTAAAAAGCCATTCTGAAGTTCAGAGTAAAGTTTGGCTGGAAAATTAAATGCTATTAATGAAAATCTCTAAAGAGGTTAATTTGTAATCTTTATGGAAACATAAGATTTTATTTTCATATTCATAACAGCAATAGCAAAACCTTTAACTATACATATATTTGATAAATACATTTTATAGATGCCTATGTAAAACAAACAACAAAAACTGAGTTCCAAAAAGGTTGTAGCACAACCAATATATTCAAACGCTGCCGAAGGCTTTGCAAATTGAAACTCCATTTTGGGAAGACTACTTGGCAATACATAATAAGAGCTATAGAGATGATCACATAATCTTATCCAGTATTCCTACTCCTAGTTATTAAAGGTAAATACTTCAGTGTATATTAATGAAAATTGGCCTTATAGATATGAACTATATAACAGTGTTATAAGGGAATGTTTTAATGTATATGTGTATATATTTACTCAAAGTAGAAACATGAAAACTGAAGAAGCATGGGAAGATAATTAAATTGATGCTAAAATAGTATTTATAATGATCACAATTATGCAAAATATGTACACCAATAGAGACTCACCAGAAAAACATTAAAAATAAAAACTCTTCCAATGGTAAGATTATAGATCATTTTCTCTTTCTCTCTCTCTTTTTTCCCCCAAAATAAAGTTAGCATAGGACAACTTTTCAAAAGCTTTTGAAAATGTATATATTACATTGCAATAAAGCAAACGTGCACATAGACATGCTCAAAAAAGTTACTTGATTATTTCTTGGGTGCCTGGGGGGAGTGGTGTAAAGAACCAGAGGTATCTTGAATGCGGGCGGAGGACAGAAACGAGATGCAGCAAGCAGGGGGATGCGACGCGCAGTGTGGCAGCAGCATCCCTTGCCTCCCTGGGGAATTAGATGGTGGTGTCACAGGCTCACAATCCGTAGCTGTGGAAGCCCTCATGTCACAGTGGATGTTACATGAGGAAAGTAGATGGACCACAGTGACCACCCACCTCATTTCCTTTACATTGTCCCCTTGCTGGGCCACAATGACACAGGCTGAGGGCATGTCCACAGTGGAAGATCTGAATTTACACTGCTGGCCGGAGATGAGACAACCCCATTCTCTTTTATGTATGCATACATTTGTTTCATTGACACATTAACCACAGGAAAAGGGGAAAAGGCCACAGGTGTGCGGTTAGTATGAGTGGGGTGAAGGAAGCTTTTACAAATTTTTTTTCAAGAGCAAAAAGCATCAGTATTGCAAGTACTTTCCATGATCCCACACCCACCTCGAAAGCCCCCTCTCACCACAGGAAGCTTGCTGACCATCGGAGCAATAAAAGAGGCTGGCGAGGAGCCTGAGGCTCACTCTCTCCTGCACAGCTCGGCAGACCTCAGCCATGAGAACTCTCATCCTGGCCTTCCTTGGCATCTGCTGTCTTGCTGTGTATGCTGTGGAAGGTAAGTTGGGAAGTTGTTTATGAGATGGGGAACAGGGATGCGAGGCAGGTGGGTGCACGTTTGGGGGTCGACTCAGCTCTTGACTGGAGTAAACTGCTTTCCCAAGGGAAGCCTCAAACTTCCATGCGCAAAATGGGGATGACAATTTCGACTCTAGGGGCCTTTGTAGACTCCCAGGACAGAGAGAAGTTGGTTAGTAACTGGGCTCCTACTCTTCCTAACTAAGTGATTTTGGGTAAATTTCTTAACCACTATGGGCCTATTCTTATTTATCTATGAATTGACTTATGGTGTATTTACTTATTTAATCACATCAGATTTCCTTACAAGTAATAATTTTTTGGTGAATGTTAGCTACAGAATGTTGATAATGACTATAAATACATTTGTAGCTTTGACCCATTTAATATTGATCTTGTGTAATTCTCAGCATCTTTGAGAGTCCAATCACAATGTGGGAATGAGCTAGAGGATGTATGTCTTAAAGCAAATCAATGTTTTCTATTAAAAAACAAAAACCAAACCAAAAATGATTGGAAGCTCATATTTTCATATCCAGAAAAATCAATATTGCCTTCAAATATGTGGGGGAGGGGAGTGTCTATTATTACTGCTATGAAATACGTTACCATTTATGAAAAATCTCTTGAGTTTTTAAGAGATTGTATGATAATAAGTGTTAACAGATAGATCAATACTTTATATAGAACCAAATCAACCTGCAAGACATACCCAGGTGAGATTCAGATATTCTGAGCCTTACCTGAGTGTTCAACAGGTATTTCTTAAAGGATCACTTTTTCCTACTGTCTGGAATTAATTTGTAGATTTATTTGTATCCTAATTTGTAAACTTATTGCTTAGACTACAATACTGTAATCTGACCGTGGATCCCCAAGGGGGTCCGAGAATAAAGGTGGCAAAGTCTGGAACTCCTGAAATTGTGGGCAAAACAAAAAATATTGATGAAACAAAAAAGTTTAAGACTATTAAATTAGGTTGCATGTTGCTACGTGCCTGGCATCTTGCTGAGATGACAGGTGAAGACACTGAGGATACCAATATGAGTCATCTCTTCCCAAAAGGAGCAAATGGCCCTGTATTCCTACACCACTCCCAGAGTAATTTAACAGGTGATCGTTCCCTTGAACTTCATAATTGTTGACTTATTGTTTCATTTTATTTATGTTTTTTTTTCCCTCCCCAGGTGTGGGAAGTGAAGTCCCAGATAAGAGTATTTGTGTGAGTCTAACTACCCAGCGACTGCCAGTTAACAGAATCAAGACCTACACCATCAAGGAGGGCTCCATGAAAGCAGTAATGTGAGTCTGTCTCCTCCAAAGCTGGGCTTGGTGGAATATATAGAAATATAGAAAAATAGTATATAGAAATGCTGCCCTCCTCAGGAAAATTAGGTCACCACGGAGGAAAACCTCAACTTAACCTATAGCTCCTTTATTTTTCTATATAAATCATGTCTTCATGCAGCCCCACCAAACAGTGATTATTGCAAAAATTTGGCCGCCAAATAAAGAATGCAAGCTTCCTTTCTGATGTAGCTTAGCAGAAGAGTCTGACTAGAAACCACATGAATAGTGTGCCCAGTTCTGAGTGCTAGGTCGAGAGATGCCTGGCTCAGGTCAGGATTTGTCCACGCAGCCACTCTGGTGTGGGCATGTAGGGCTGGAGTTAGGCAGAGTGCTGTGCTTAACAGTTGCCGTATCTCATGGAAATGTGTCAAAAACTAGGCTACCTGGTTCCCTTCTCTTTTCAGGATCTCATTTTCAGAAGTAGCACCTCTTCCCAGCACATAATTGCAATCTTTACCATAAGAAATTAAAATAAAGAAAGAAATCACCTTTATCCAAAAAATAAGATGAAAATATTTAGGTTTGAAAAGAAAGAGGATATGTAATTGAACTTGATGGCCACAAATGTCTATTTTAGTTACAACAATCGGTGGCACTGATGAGAAAAAGAGCTTTGAATTATAGTGAACAAAGGAGATATTTCTCCTTTGTGTCAAAACAGGTGGCAGAAGAAAGGTGTTCATTTATGGTTTCATGGTTCTGAAAGCCTATTTCTTCTGGCATTTTCTGCAGGACACCTCTTCATGTTTGGTTTGTTCTTAACTCCTGGCCCTCTGACTTTGAGGATGTGGCTGACTTTACTTATCTTTTCCTTGCATTACAGTTTTATTACCAAACGTGGCCTAAAAGTCTGTGCTGATCCTCATGCCAATTGGGTGAAGGCAGCAGTCAAGAGCGTGGACAGCAAGTCCAAAGCCAGAAGTAACGTGATGCAGACCAGGCCTACAGGAACCCAGCAATCCACCCATACAACTGCAACCTTGACTGGGTAGTGGCCTCCTGGCACCCTGTCCCCTCTCTAGCCAGCCAGCTCATTTCACTTTCCAGGCTCACAGACTAATTAGGTTATACTCACCTTTTACAAAAATGCTGCATGAGTCAAGTTATTTTCTTGTATTTTTATTTTTTAATGTTTTTCTTATTCCTTTATATGCTCAAATTAATAAATATTTATTTTTAAGAATAGTTCTATAGTCTGTTTATTATATATGGGGAATGTATCATTTCTCTTCTATTTCTGTACCTCTCTTTTATGGTATCTGTATGATGAGAAAGATTTTGGCCAGTGTTTATCAGGGATAAAATCAGTATTCATCATTCTCAGGTTCCAGCTTGTAACGGTTCTCTACACATGAGTCACAAGTTGCCACTTTGACAAGGGCAACAATTCAAGATCTATTTCAACTTGTCATCAGAATAGAGTATTATTTACAGAATAAAGGAGAAAATAATCCAGCTGTCCTTGGGTTCCCATTTTGAGGGTCCACTACCCAAAAAGTGGCTTCACTAAAGTTTGATCTTGAACAAATTCTCTTACCTCTCTGAGTTTCCTTTTGATCTCCTGTTAAATGTAAAAAAAGAGGGCTTGTCATTTTTTTCATTTGTCCAGTTAGCAAAAGTTAGACTTCTGGTGTAAAGAAACTTTATTCAAGTAAAAATCAACGCTTTTTGAATTGGGCAATGATCTCATCACTTCACTGTGATTTTTGTAATTGTCACTACTCTAGTTATCATAAAAGTTATGATAAAAGCTCTAAATGCCCCTAATACTGCCACATGGAACATTTCTTGATGTGATCACAATTTGCAGTAAACTTTTAGTTAAATGTTCATCTGGTCACTCAACACCCCGGACTCAGGCTCTCCTGAATTCTCATTAAATTGCTGATGTGTTTCATGCCAATGGTTCTACTATCCAAGTAGCTGATGACATACACATCCTGTTCTGTATAACTCTAGATAGGAAGAACTGACCTTGCCTTGACAGTTTCAAGTGAAAAGAAAAGCACTAGCCGTGGTCTAGTCCTGAAGAGATGCTCAGCAATATCGAGAACTTTCAGAGGGGAGTTGAGGCCAGTCTGTTGGAATCAGCTCAGTTCTAGTCATACGACTAGTGAACCAGAGTGGAAAGTTAAAAAGTTGCCTCTTAGCAAAAGGTGGGTTGCCTATCCTGTCTTACTGCTATTTGTCTACAATAATTTTCAAACATGCTCTTAAAAAAAAAAAGCCCTTAGTAAGAATAAAATTCTTGTTTTATGAGGGGTGAAAAATAGCAAAGTCACAAAAGATGAATGGGAATGACCTCCCGACTGAGCTTCTATTCATGTTTCCCAAATGCCTTCTGGGCCCCAGGGGTTTATATAAAATGATGATAAAGTGATATGTGGAAGGATATGAGTGGTACATGACTTTTCAATTCATCAGATTTTAAAAAAATTTTTTATAATAAATACTGTATTTATTATGTAACCAGAACTATTTTCTTGCTTTACAAATATTAATCCATTTAATCACATAGCAGACCTCAATTAAAGATAAAACAACTGAGGCACAGAAAGACTAATTAACTTTGTTAAGATCCCTCAGTCAGCGAGGGGTGGAGGTCAGGTTTGAACTCATGGAAGCATGGCTCCACGTTCAAACTGTCAACAACTGTGACATGCTGCCTGCCTCTCCTCAGAAGCCAGTTTCTGGAAGACCAAATCGTATGTAAAGGACACATGAGCAGACTATTCAGTACTACATAATATCCTTATCTAACCTACCTACTTCATTCATTCATATTTACATTCATTCACTCAGTAAATACTTACTGAGGGTCTACTATGTGGCAGAAACTGAAGATAGAGTAAGGTCTCTGCTTTCACAGGGCTTACATTCTGGTAAAATCTCCCCTCTTTCCCTTTCCACTGGAACCTTCCTTTCATCTATTCGCTCAACCAGTTGGTATTTATTGTGTGCCTAATGCATTCCACATGTTTGCTGGGCAGTGGCAGCTGTTGAAACCAGACATCTTACCTTCAGGGATCTTGCACTGGGGAAACATATAAGTAAGCAGAATTTTCAACATGGTGTCATATGCAAAATGGTATGCAAAGCATAGGGAATGAGCTTTGGACACACAAGAGCAAACCTGTCCGGGTCTTAGCATGTAGTGAGGGTCAGGATTGGCTTCCCCTTGAAAATGGCCTTTAATCTGAGACCTGAAAGATGAGTCAGAGTTAGCCAGAGGGTTTCAGTGTATTCCAGGCAAAGGGAACAGCAGCACATGCAAAGGCCTGCAAGTTAAAGAAACCCTAATGCATTAAGGAAATGCGAGGAGTTTAATATGACTGATGACAGAGCAAAGGGTAGGAAGTAAAGGAGTGGGGGCCAGAGGTGAGGTCAGAGAGATAGAGGAGACATCACGAAGGGCCTTATCTGCCCTTCCAAGGATGATGGACAGTATTTCATTTTAAAGGCTAATTACACCGAGGATTATGTACAGTATTATGTTTTACAGGAAATGACATTGGCTGCTGGGTGGACGATGGAGTGTAGAGAACAAGACAGGGGCCAGGAAGCCAACTGGGAGGTGTCTCTGAACGTGGGGACTTTTGAACTTGGCCTGGCGTAGCACAACACATTTTTCCTTTGTCTCAGGGGCCTTTACTAATCCGCCAGGAGGTGCATTTGACTGCCTGACCCTGGTGGTGTGTTTCAACTGCACCTGCTGAATGCTTTGGACCAACGACTTTGTTCACTCATTTCTTTGGCTGTGGGGAGCCAAGACTGGGATAGGAGAAAATCATAATTATGGGAATCGCTTAACTTGCATTATTTATTGGCTATGCTATGATTGGATCTGTGGGAACAAAATTGGAGCCAACCACCTAGAAGAAGCAGGAGGCAGGGCTGAGGAGCAGTAAACTTGACATCAGCGGGGTTTCAGAGATCCACAGACCAAGCATTTTCTGATTTATTCAAGGTCTTGAATATTTGTGGAGTACCTGCAGAGCACAGGGTCACAGAATTTAGTCTGCTGTCATGAAGGTCATGATAGTCACCAAATGACCTCAGCTATGCCCCTGCAATGTCCGCACCAAGCCCAGCAATGACCACCAACCAAGCTGCCACTGGAAACACCCTGGGCTCCTGAGCTGGAGTGGAGGGGGTCCGAGGGCTTCAGCCACACCCCTCTGACATCTGTATCCAGCCCAGCAATGACTGAGCTGCTGCTGGAAGCCCCCTGGACTCCCCTGCCGGAATGAGGGGGGTGCTATGGGCCTTGACTATGCCCCCTCCTTCCTCCTCCTCCCACACTACTTTTCTCCCCCTTCCCTTCTCCCCGCCCCCAACTTCTCTGCAACATCATCTTAGAACATAAAAAAAATAACAAATAAGTAAATTTTAAAAAGTTGTGTCTTTAAACCTGAGGAGCTTACTAGGAAGAGAAGCCAGGGCCGGGCCCTCTTGCCAGAGACAAACACTGGAATGAAAGCACAGCAGCAGGGAAACCAAGGCACATGTAGGGAAACTCCTTTTTTCCTGGATAGGTGTCTATAGGCTCAGGGATCCTAGAGGAAAGGTAGGTTGAGGTTAGATTGAAGGCCAGAGTACCATGACAAAGGGGCGGATTTTAAGCAGAGGGGCCCAGGGAGCAACACGATCAGATCTGAGGTTTAGAGTAACAACTTGCAGGAATGTAGAAAATGGACCGGGTAGGAGGAGATGACAGCCTGGGTCAGGTGGTGGCAGTGGGAATAGGAGCAAGGGGGCCCGAGGCAGGACTGGGATGGCTTAGTTACTGACTGGATGTGGGAGAGAACTAGTTGGAGGAGTTGAGACCACTCAGGTTTCCAGCTTGGGTGACTGGTTAAGAAACAGCACAATTGATTGGTAGTATTCCGGTGTGGCTACTAATAAACCCTGAGTAAAATAAAAAGCACCCAGGAGAGGAGATGAGGAGATGAAAGAAGCCTGGGAAAATGAAATACTGATTATCAGCTGTACTACTCAAGTCATTCAGACAGAAGCCCAAGCTACATTTTTATTCCCCTTTGACAGACAATCCTTTTACAAGAATGAAGTTAAAAAAAAAAAGACCGAATATCTGTAAAACTTTTTATGCCCCTTGGGGGCAAAAAAGATACATATAAATGGAATGCAGTATCCACTGGGTGAGTCATCAGCGTTATTTTAAAAGGGATTTGTCACACGGTAGTGGGAGGCAAAGAGGAGCAAAGAGATGAATCTACAATTAGAGGAAAAGAGAAATGAGGTGAAAGAAGATTTCGAGTGAGAATCAGGAATGCCCAAGCGTGACTGAAAGGTGGAGTCTGAGGAAGGAGAGGGTCAGGGAGAGGTCAAAGGGACTTTCTAAAAATTTTCTTGGGAGGAATTAATGAAAATTGGGATCAACTGCTGAGAGTGGAAGGCCAGAGGAGTAACCTGGAGCTATTATTTTGTAGGCTAGGAAAGAAATTTGGAGGAATCTCAGCTAAGAGATAGTTGCCCCTGCAAAGAAATTTCAGTCAAATGCAAGTGAAGTATGTTGATTTCCTGTCACCCTCTGTTGCCTAGAGTAATGGCTAAGGTATAATCTGCTTCTTCCCCAAACTTGTGCTTTTTCTCATCAAGGTAGAATTGATGAATGAGATAATTGGAAGGCAGTTTCACATTCTAGAATAAGAAAACGAAAGATCACATGGCCAGGCTGGGACAATCTTAATCAGAGATAGCAGATGCTATGCAAGGAAAGAGTTCTCTGTCTCTGAAGAGTGGGCGGAGAGGATGGGTGGGTGGGGAGGGGGCTGGGAGAGGACAGTATCGGTAAACTAACCCCACAGTGAGTAGTGGATGAAAGAGGAAGGGGTCTCTATGTGACCTCTCTCTCTCTCTCTCTCTCTCTTTTTCTCTCTCTCTCTCTCTCTCTCTCCCCCTGAGGGAGGAATTGGTGTGATGATTAGGAACCTCAGCTCTGCCTGGACTTGCACACTAGCTTCACCACATACTATACAGGTGACTGTGGGGAAATTTTTCTATTTCTCCATGCCTCAGAGTGCCTCATTTATAAAACTGTAATAATAACAGTGCCGACCTCATGGGATTATTGTGAGGTTTAAACAGCACTTAAAATAGAGCCTGGCATAGTATAGGTTCAATAAATGTTG